AACACAGGGCTGCAGAGTAGGAAAGGCTTCTACACATTCCCAGCATATTGCTACTGCACTTATCAAGCACACGAGAGCCATGCAGTCTCTGCTACTTCCCCTACAGTGAAAGAAATCATGGCAAGAACAGCTCTATCACCTAACAGATGGGAGACTGGTTAGAAATTTTTCAATTTTCTACATCTTTCACTTTTTTTAAGGAAATGCTGTGAGTGGATATTAAACACACCACAAATCTATCTGAAGGAATTTCTATTTAACATGATTATGAAGAATTGTGCAAAAATCATCAATTCGGATCATTCCGAAATATTTTGAAATAAATAAGATTTAGTAAGCTCTGTTTGTATTTTTTCTCCACAAAGATCTTAATGAACACTTTCAAAATATCCCACCCTTGCTCCCAGAAAAGCCAACAAAATTGCCTCCATCATTATTCAAAGAAGAACTTGTTAAAATTTTATACTGGTGATTTATTGACTTTGGAATTTTATTTGTTTTTTTTCTTCTAGTGAACAGCATACTGTGCTTCCTATAGAGGACCACAGATTATATCCTTCTGTCATTTCAGTTAAAGAAGATATATCAAACACATTTACATTAGCTTAGATCCAGTTCAGGTCACATTTCAATATCAGAAGATTTATAAGGCTTCTATCTAGTTACTTATATCACCTGAAGTCCTTACAGTCCAGTAACATACAAAGATACTTATGTTTTACAAAGGGGGTAAGAATTTCTTTTTTAGAGTTTGTATGGCAAAAAGTGCTCCTTTCCTGTTCCACATGCTTAATAAACTCAAATTTTCCACTAGGTACTGTTGATTCCTTACTTCTGTGTCAACTACATATTCAAATGTTACCCAGTATAAGTAGCAAGGCATGCAAAACCAGAATTTTTGATATCAGGATTTTATATTAGCTCCTTTAAATCCTTATGAAAACTTATTTGCTCGATTCAGGCCATAAAAAGGTAGTTCACATAATCCAGGAGGTTGTCACTGTTAGAAGATGAAGTCTATATCCATACAAACCTTTGCATCCAGAATATTGAGCGTAGTTTCAATTTGTTGGATACGGAGAGAGAGTGCTGACAATTTCTACAACAGAAAAGAATTAGGATGTGAAAACACTCCCCTATGCACTTGGACATATAAAACAGTTTGCATCTAGTTAAAAAAAAATCACTTTTGTCTTCTCCCTGCTGAAGGCAGAGTATAGTGTAAATGAGATTACCACATAATGAAATAAATGAAGCAATTTCCTTTTTAGTCCAGTATCCATGTCGTTTTTTGTACAGTAGCTACAGCAGTACAAATTTTAAATAATCTTACTCTGCAGTTGGTTTTCCCATACAATGACAGAAATGAAGACAGACTATGTACAAAAGAAAGCCAAAGTAAATAAGGTATTACACTGGGCAACTGTAGAATAAAGATAGACATATTGTACTCTTCCAGTTAGCAAAAGATCATTCTTCAAAGCTCTTTCCAAATGTTGAAGATGAAAAGAAATTATGTGTGTGTATGTAACTCAGCAAATATAAAGAGAAAACCTGGTAATTAATACAGCAGGTGATTCAAAGTCCTATAAAGTCAAAATCCACAAGGAATCAGAACTAACCAGACACTTTATATGCTCCAGGTGCACCTCAATCAAATTTTGACTTTTTTTTTTTTAAATGCAACTTAAGTTTTTCTAAATTACTCCATAAGAACTGCCAGGCTTTTAACTAATCACTACCATACTCCACCAGACCTGTTCAAGTGAAGTTGGCTAGAGTGCTGGCTGGCAGATATGTACCATTCTGACAGCTTTCTGGCACCTTGGCAAGATTCTGCCTGGCTCTGAAGCAAAACTTTAACACCCTAAGAAAATGGCAGCTCTGCCAACATGCTAGAAAAAGTAGAAGGGGACTGACAGGAGTTAGTCTTTTTGGATAGTGCACTGACTTGTTTACAGATGGTCCTTTGTTCATGAAGAGGAGTCAGTTCCTATTGGGAGGAACTATGTGTCCCACATTTAACTGGATAAGGGGGAGGAAAGATGTACAAAAGACAAAGATGCAATTTTATGGGTCTATTTGACTAGACAAGAGCCTTAGAGTTGAGGATGGAGTCAGCCCTGATTTTGAGTTCCTTGGCTTCTGTTGACTTTTCACATTAAAAACACTTCTGTATTTCATGAATACGAAAAACTTCTCAGGGAGTATATAAACCAACTATTTAGTCTCTTGGGTAACAACACATTTTGGTTAACTAATAACTGTTTTATTAGGCAGACTTCACAGTGCTGCTGCGTGCTCAAGGTGGCTTTAAATATACGTGTTCTGATTTCCACAGCGCCTGTGGACGAGGGAATACTGAGATCAGGTGACAACTGAGTTCTGTACAACTGACAACAGCATCATCAGGCTGTTAAACTATCCCACCTAGCAAGTTACAACAAGTTTGAAAACTTAGGAAAAATGACTTTTTTTTCTTCTGAAGCTCCATATATTAATATAGTAGCCAAATTTTATACTTGTCACGGGCCTGACTCTAAACTTCACCAACAAATAACAGAATTTCTCAGATTACATGGCTTAGTCTAATTGGAGTTGACTGTTGCCCTAGCTCAGCTGGCTAGAGCTGTATAGCATTCTTTGTTGAATAAACTAATGAAAAAGTACAAAATACCTCTGAAGACAAAAAGGTTAGACTCAAAGCCACATTAGAAAATACCCTTTTTACAAGGAGGACTCTTGTCCCGTTCAGTGGACAATTCTAATCTTGTCGGTCTGGTGTATTTCCATTGATTCTAAAGTCATCACATAAACTTACTAACCTAAATATTTTTATTTTTCTCTCTTTACAAGAAACTGAAGTTAAGGGCTTCATGTTCTATACTAATCACTTGCCAGAAATGTCCTTTTTTTCAACAAAAAACCAATTTACATTCAGTGCTTAGCGTATCACTCTTTTAAATTAAAAGTGATAAAATCTGAAAGTACATTTTGATGCGCCACAAGAACACAGCATCCTTCCTTCATAACAAACAAAAGCCAGAGATGAAGCTGCTCAGAATAAATTCCCTGTATCAAAAAGTTCAAAGACTGTGCCGAATGCAAAAGCTTAAGGAAACAGTGTAGCACCATCAGGAGTTCATGTGCCTCCCTTGGGGAAAAATTCTGTCTTAAGCACTTGAGGCTCAAGGGAAACCTTGAATGGAAAGCAGACTACATTTTTTGGTTTAAGCTACCAGTATTACTGCATCAAAACTATTTAAATGAATGGTTCTCATTTCTTGAATTTTTTTAATTGTATAAAGGGACAGCTGGGAAAATAATAAACATACCTCTTCACAAACAGTAGAAAAGCGGTTGAGAAACTGCACTGTATGAACCACAAACTGGTTTAGAAATGCTACAGTTCTTTTCTGCTGAATAGCAGGAACCTGCATTAAAAATATAAGAAACTTAGGTTACATATCAATTTTCAAATTTGGATTGAAATATCTGTTAAAAAATGCACATTTTTTTAGAAGAAATTATTTGGAAATCTGTCTTAAGTGTGCTTGCTATGAATGCATACATATACAAACCATTTTCTAATACACATATGCATTCATACAAATCCTTTGCCACTAAAAATCTACTAACATGAGAGCTGAGAATTTACAAGAAGTTACATAAAAAAGACAACAAGACCCACAAAATGAAGGATTGTTATCTTAAAGAAAACACCTTTAGATGAAATTGTAAGTATTCTTAAAAATCAGTGTTAATGTTTTGTAGAAACACTGAGGAAATTAGATCGGGAGTTTAAGAATGAAAAGCAAACTTGGACAGCCACACTAATACTCAGTTACAACACCACAGCCAAAACTAAAGTTTAGTGATGCTGCTGTCTAAGTATCTAGTGGCTAACATACTGGTTCTCATTTAGGGTACCCAAAATTACCTCCAAATTATTTTCAGTGCTTACATACTTTTCAGACTAAAATGCAGAATCTTATGTTTGCCAAAAATAATGGTGGTCACATATGTAACAAAGAGTTGGCATTTTTATTTAAACCACTACAGAAAACTGCAATCAGGAACTTTCACACAAAAGTTTCTGTATAAAATTTTAGTGCCTCAGGCTTAATAACCTTGGACAATTGTTTTAAGTCTTTAACCTTTGCAGAGGAAATTAACCTATGAAGTTGCCATTGATTTAAGTGAAAGATTTACAAGTAATATTATTGGCAGTCAAGATTCTGGTGCACTTTTATTGTGAATACAGTGACACTCTGGTCTTCACCTCTTCTTTAGTGGCTGATTCACCAGTCGTCCAATATACAATTCACTATGGCCATCTTAAAACATCCTGACTTTTTTGTGAGACTTTTGATGCTACTATCTCGAGCCTTCAGCCTTTGCACCTGCTGAAGTTCAGTTCTGTGGTTCCAAAATTCACCAAGCAGTGCTTATGATCTTAGCAGAAATCTGTGGGGTGGCACAGAGCATGGAAAAAGCACTGGGTCAATTGGAATTGTCCTGTCTTTATGCTTTGTATTGAGAAAACTAAGTTTAAAAAGAAAGTTTCTGCAACATTAAAAGAAATGAATAAACAGCTTTGCACGGCATTTGCCTCCCAGATGGGTGTCCGAGACGGCTTCGCCTTTAAATACAACGTTATCACAGCACTTGCAGCGAAAGGCCTCCGGAAACAGCTGGAGACACAAGTAAGGAGCAGAGCCCGCTCGTTCCCGGGTGCGAGGGCGGCACCGTCACCGCACGGGGCGCTCNCGCTGCTCGGCCGCGCTCCGCAGCCGCGGCCCGGAAACAAACCCCGAGCTCCGCGGGGCGGGGCGCGGCCGCTGCCCCGCGCTTCCTCCTGGGAAACGCAGTCCCAGGCCGCAGTCCTTGTGGCCGGCTGTGCCCCGGGAGAAACCCCGAGGATAAACCCCGAGCTTCTGGGGTGCCTTCTTGGGCACCCGCTGTGGCATGCAGGAGGTGACAGCCGCTGAGGGGCCCGGCCGTGCCAGGGGTCGCACCCAGCGCTCCCCAGGCCTCAGGACGCAGGCCTGCTTAGTGGTGTTTGGGAACAGTGTCGTCCCCTGCGGCCAAACGTCAGGGAAATAATGAGAAAAGCCAGAGAAGGAAGTGTTCCTGTGCTCATACGCATAATTTGAGCGGGGAAGTGCCACACTTTGGATGTGGGGAGTAAAAATAAGGAGCACTGAATGGCCCTGGGTTCTTCTGAAAAAGACAAATTTGGGGTCACCTGGAGTCCCTGTTTACAGCAGTAAATCTAAATAGGTTTTTGTGGATTTCCATATTTAGTGGGAGTTCTCCACGGTTACATCTAAATACCGCTGCACTTAATAAACCCTCATAAATTCAGGGCAGTTAAGAAACCATCATACTCAGGCTGTCAGATGGAAACTTCTCTTGTGATGAAATTAATAAAGGCGCACTAATTACTGTAATACTTTGAAGATTAGATCCCAAATGTAGTATGCTAATTTTGGTTTAAAATTTACCAAAATTCTCAGTTTACATCCAAATCATTACAGTTTGCCAAAGCATTCTAATAATCCATATACAGAATCAATAGTGGCTGTACACAGAGCACTTATTTAGTCAAGTTGCCATAAAATTCTCTTTTATTTACTGAAGCAGCTTTTTTTAGCTTTATTACTTTCACAATGTATTTATTAACCTGCTGTTATATGGACATCATTATTACTCACCTACTAAGACTGTGTAGCAAAGCTTTTTGTCTATACTAATTGAATTATTGAATAACTTGTGATTCATACTCTGCTTTGGACCACTGACATGTTGTTGGCTCAATTTCTTGTGTCTCCCAAAGGAAGAGCAGCAGGCTAACCTACAAAATTCAGTGGGTTTAGCTTTCAATTCCTAGCTTACAAGAGTTGCGCAAATTTGTGTTGGGCAATGGAGCCGTTTGTTTAACTTATTTACTTTGCCACCTTAATTACCTTAAAATTCCAACTAAATTCAAGAAGAACTAATTTAATTTATGATAAAGTGTCTATAATACAATTTTTCCAGGCAGTGACACTGGAAAATTAATGTAAATGCATAGTCAGATCTTATCTGAATGTCTTGGTCTGTAAAGCTGGATAAGAAATCTCCCAAGAATATGCTTTTTCGTGAACTTTCTGGTACTTCCTGCTTTTAATTTGCTCAAAAATACTGCATAGAAAAGTGCAACACAGCACTTTTTCCTCCCAGCTGGAGTTAGGAAATGCAGGGTATGAAAAGTGAAAAAGAGAGAACGGAGGAAAATGATCCAAATTTTCCAAAACCTCTTAAAAATGTTTTAATTGAACTAACTTGTTCAGCTGCAAATATAAATGACTGAACTCCCAAGGAGAGGATTTATAAAAAATAATTGAGTGATAACATTCAGATTTATAGTGTGAATGATTTGAAAATATATTTTTTTACCAGCACCCATGCTGGATGATAAATGTCAGACTGAGGAATAAGTACTGTACAGTATGTAATTGCTGGCAGTTGCCCTATGTATGTGTACATACACATGCTGGCATTTAAAGGCCCAGTTGCGTAGCTCCACCTTCCAGTGAAGGAAAAGATTAAAGTGTGTTTAAAAATTACCAAAATGAAGTTTGGTTGAGTGTTAATATTTTGAAGATGTCGTATTAGCAATATGCTGATGCTAACTTGGAGTGGAAAAGCCATGTGTACAGAAAACTAATCAGAGCTCTGTCTTTACTATAAAATACCTGACTTGTGATTAGGGCACACAGAAAAGTAAAGGCAAGAACACAGGTTTCAAAATGTTGAAACTGATCTGCTCCATATATTGCACAGAATCAGAGCCTCGGGTCAACTTCGAAACAAAACTGAACAAGCTGAGAAAAACTGGTGAGTGCTACTGTAGCTTACAATGTTCATTCATATGCATCTTGTGTGCTTGTACATTGTTACAGGTCCCAGGACACCACTGATTCAGGTTAGAATCAGCCCAGAACTCAAATAGCTATATAACTGAGAGACAAATTAAACAGAAACAAAGAGCTGATCCAAAAAAATTTCTAGACATGGTGTCACCTGATCCTCCACAAGGGGCAATAGTTGTTTTAAATAAGGTGGTCCAATGAACAGCTGAAAAAATCAGTGTGGATTAACATTTGCTTGATTTCCCATGGAGTCTTCTAAATCCATGCTTGCAAAGGGTATTCTAGTGAAGTTTTCCCTATGAAACTGATATTGCCTCAATGATTTTTCTCTACACTGAATTTAAGCAATGTCCCTCCCAATCTCAACAATCTCAGTGTGCCAGAATTTGTACAAATCTTGCAAACGGTTCAGAGAATTATCAACCCTTCACAGTTAAATAGACTGAGAATAAAAATGTTAGGCATTATGTAGGTTTCTTTAAAAAAAAAAAGAAAATGGAAACTAAATGATAAATGGTTTGCAGTTCTCTGAAAATGTTTTGTCAAGTTTCAGTTTTCCAAGTACTATGCTAAGACAACATGAGAGGATTAACTAATTATTTTGTTCTGTACAAAAGAGCATGGAGAACATGCTAAAAACATTAGCTGCTCCTTTTTATTTATTTATTTATTTTTAAAAAATATCTATATCACTTTGTTCCAGTATAAAATAAAGAGCCTTGAACTTGGCAAGATCATTACTGGGTAAACAGTTTTAAGTAGTCCTTAAAAACAGCGTATGAAAAGCAAACATCCTGGTTGCTGACTTAACTGCAGAACAAAAGAATTTCTGTCCTTTGCCCTCTTGGATCTTAGTAATTGTAAACCAAAAAAGTCTCACTCAGGAGTGCACCTGCACATAGCTGGTGCAAATCCTCTTCTGTATGGGTCCTGAGTATAGTGGATATATTCTGCAGAGGCAGGAGCTGTGTGAAGTGTGCTCTGAGGACAGAAAAACCCATGCCTGTTTCAGTTTCACTACACACCAAAAGGTTAACAGTGCCTTAGGCCAATTCTTCCAGACGCACAAAGATTTTTAGCTACAAGTGTATTAAACGTCCCCTTAAGCCTACTATCTCTGGTCAGACAATGGATACAAGGTAAACAGAGTGCTGTTATCTGCTTATTTTATAATTTAGGCACACACCACTCCACTGGAACTTCAAAGGAACTTAATATTCATTTTAGGTAAACTTTGGTGGCAGCTGGAAAGCAAAAGTTCTCAAGGACAAAGGATTATGAGAAATACAATATGGTCTTACGTTTCAAAAGATGACTGTAGCCTCACCTACTTCTGAACTGGTTTTATGTGTCCCATATATATAGGAACAAACAAATGAGTATTTTAAAATCTAACTAAATAAGGATGGCTATGATGCTGTAAGGAGCTGTTATGCTATTTGAAATATCCTGACATCCCTTCACTTGCAAAAGCATGCAAGAAAGATACTAAGACAGGAGTTATTTCTGTCTTCTTCTTTTACTTCAGTTCTGGGTCTTGTATAGGAAAGACAGGACCAATATAATGTTTCTAGAAAGCAGAGTGCCTTTGATTTTCCTGTAAAGACTGTAAGTAAAAGGCTGTAACCAGAAAAAAAACCCTCGTTATGCTGTTTGACAGGCTTGAAGTAAATCCCTCCGTCATTTTGAGAGAAACAAAACTGCTTCAAATAATCATTCTGTTTTCACCATTAGCTTCTTCACTGGTAGTGGAAACCAGTTTATTCAAACACATCCAGGAACAACACTTTATGACAGTACACTACTGCATTTCTTTTTCTTGTAAGATAGTCATGGCTGGGAAAGTGAATATTGAGAGGTGTTCTTTCTGTAGGTACTCTACAAAATTTCAGTTATTTGAGCTGTGTTAACTGAGGGAGACTATCAGACTGAGATGCTAGGACACAAAATCTCTTTAAAAACCCCTCAAAATTCATTTCACACAAAATACAATGTTTAAAAAGTACATTTTATTTTAATAGAAATAACCAAGAACCAGATGTATGATAGTAAATTTTACAAAAGCTCTTGCACTTGCAAGCTAAAAATCAAACACAAATGATTTATATTTTGCTTGCTTCTTTTCTCTGTTGTCCAAGTGAAAACCATTACAAAGAGTAAATTTCTTCATTTTGCTAGAAAAAAGGCATTATACTGTCAAGTTTCATATTGAAGGCAAATGCTTATTTTACATTTCAGTAACCCAAAAGAAAATTTTATGGTCTCCTCCAACTGCACATAATGGAAGAGTTCTGTGCCATGTCAAACCAGATCCTACAGCTGCAGTTCCACTAAGAATGGGCTTTAAAAAACAAAGAGAGAGAGAGAGAAAAATATCAATACAACTTCCCTTAAAATGATTTCTATACTGCAGACACCAAGTTGCATAGGCAAATAAACACCACAGATTAAATGCTCCTTAATAAATATAGTTAAAATACTGCAGAAATTCTACTGAAAAATGTGATTCTCTGCTTCATAGTTCCAGTAGCTACTTACTACATGTAACATACAGCAAAATATTCCATAATAACAAATAGTTTCAACTCTTTACATTACTATAAACACTATTACTATAAAGGCATGATGTCAGAAACCTTTTTAAATGAAATTACTTCTGTTATTTCAATGTACTCATAACTAATATATTTGGAGGTAATGTAAATGTTACAAATATATACTGACTCCAGCAAAACCAAAATATTTTCTATGCTTTGCATTTTCTTTAAGGATTTAAAATATAATTAGTTAAACCCAGAAAAATACAGCATTAGGTGTTTTTAGCCTCCTTAGAACTAGAAATATTTCCAGATTTATTAAATATCAGGTAAAGGTGTTTTTCTTCCCCTTAGAACTGATATGGCAAAGCAAACTAAAACATACAGATCAAACAGCTTTTAAAATACCAGTATAAGTATGCACCAATTTATTTTCCTTAGTCTGAATGCCACAAAGCAAAAAAAACTAAAAAATTAAAAAAATAGGTACACCAAGCAGCAGTGCTGGATGGTTTGGGCTAGTTTTTAATTATAGCTTTTAAGTAAAATGAGTCTGATTGGAGGAGAACAGATGCAACTCTAGTTAAAAATTTACCTGGGGATGTCCTAAATGATGAACCAGTAATTGAGTAGTTGTTTTTCCTGGATATCCAGTCGTTGCAAATAGATTTTCATTCACTCGGGACCACCTATGAATAAAATGAATCCACTTATGAATAAAATGAATGTACTTTCCAAATACCCCTGTCATACCAGCAGAAGTGCAGTATGCATGACAAAGTGGAGCTCTCTCCCTTGGGACTAACTAAACATGTGAAGATGTTACATATTCCACTAACAGCAGAGAATACAGATTTAGTGAATTAGCTTGTAAATTATTCCCCACCACAGCCCCGCATGCACAGTGTTATAAAACAAAAAAAATACCACATGAATGCTACACATATATACTAAATGTGGGTCATTCAAAAATTGCACAAAGTTTATAGACCTAGTCCCCCTAAAAATGACTTAAGTGAGACACACCCAGGTTACTAAACTCACAACTGTTTGCATAGACATAGATTTCAATAGATAAATCCCACAAAATTGAGACAATATTTATACCTGAATAATCTGGCTCGATCAACATGGACAGGTCTCTTATCCTGTGGATAACTAAAACAAACATTCAGGGTAAAAAACTGTTCTGCAAATAACTACAGTTCATACTATAAATACCAAAAGTACAGTGAAGGGGACACATTGTCTACTCTCTGTGAAGCAGTTGAGGGAAAACCAGAGCATTCCTGCAGCTTTAACCTCAATTTAGGGTAGGAAAATTGAAGTAGTTCTCCAGTTTATTATGGATCAATAGTTACCTATTTATGACTTGGAATGAAATTTTAACAAACACATACAGTGAGAGGTGAACAGATGTGAAATGCTATCTCAAATGAACAAAAAGACAGACAATGTTATATTTTTAACAGAACACATTGATAAAGATGAAACAAAGAATACCATGGAGTGGTCTGTATCAATATTGTAATTCCTGATAATTTTCATTTATTTAGCTTATGCATTGGGCCTACAAAGATGATTAAGGGGCTGGAGCATCTCTTACAAGGAAAGGCTGGGGAAGTTGGGCCTTTTCAGCCTTGAGAAGAGGTGACTGAGAGACCTCACCAATGTCCATCAGTATCTAAAGGAGGGTATCAAGGGAACGGAGCCAGACTCTGTTCCGTGCTGCAAGCAATAGGATGAGAGGCAATGGGCACAAACTGATGCACAGGAAGTTCCACCTGCATATGAGGAAGATGTTCTTTACTCTGCAAGTGACCAGGCACTGGAAGAGGTTGCCCAGAGAGGATGTGGAGTATCTCCCTCCCTGGAGATACTCACAGTCCTGTGCCTTGTGCTCTAGGATGACCCTGCTTGAAAAGGGAGGTCAGACCTGCTGACACACTGTGGTCCCTTCCAACCCGACCCATTTGTGATTCTGTGACTGGCATGCTCTCTTAGCCAAATACCTGCACTTCCTCATGTACTGATTAGGAAGAGAATAAAGAAACCCATGCAATGGGTATAAAAATACCTGGAGCGAGTGATATCCCAGATCAGCCAATCACTTCCAGCAACTGCTCCAATTTTAAGGGGATTTTTTAAACACCAGTCTGCTGACATCAGTGGTGTTTGTTCACACTCCAGGGAAAGAATGGCCTGCTGTGTAATCAGGTCATAGAATCGTATTGTCCCATTCTTCTCTGCCACCATCAGCTGTTAAAAGAAATTCATAGAATGTGGTAAACTTAGCATGTAATGGAAATTAAATTTTTTCTACTCTATAGAAAGCCTGGAATACATTCAAACAAAAATTAATAATACTAAATGAAGTGCAGTTTTTCATTTCATACCAGAAAACTTTCTCCTGGACACTCTTTAACCAATAAATAAAAACCACTTTAATCTATACTACTGTTACACTGTTATACACAATTACATTATTTATATATATATATATATATATACATCTATGTGTATAATTCTGGTGGTTAGAAACACCAGTTCACAACCACCAAAACACTGTGTTTTTATACAGCAAAAAGTCATTATTTTAACATTCAATAGCTTCTGTTCTGAGTGCACAGTGCTGTAAAAAAGAAAGGATTGTCAAGCATTGGAGCAGGCTGCCCAGGGAAGTGGTGGAGTCACCATCCCTGGAGGTGTTCAAGAAATGACTGTACATGGCACTAAGTGCTACGGTTCAGTTGATATAATGGTGTTCAGTCAAAGGTTGGACTTGAGGATCTTAGAGGTCTTTTCCAACCTAAATGATTCTATCATTCTAAGCAAAGTAATAATTAGTGTAGCTGTAGAATCAGTAGAATCACTTACTGATTTTATATAATATCTCTTATTTCATCCTGTAACAGTTTGCAACAGATTTTATCTAAGCATTTATCATTACAGTAATATACTTAAGCAGTTGTTTTTTTAAGTATTGTAGAAATAGCTCCCTGATTAAATTATAGAATCATAAAAGGATTGGGTTGGAAGTGAACTTAAAAATCCTCTACTTGCAATCCTCTGCCATGAGCAGGAACACCCTCCACTAAGGCCAGATTGCTCAGGGCTCCATCCAGCCTGGTCTTGATCACTTCAAGGAGTGAGCCTTCACGACTTCTTTGGGCAACCCATTCCAATGCCCAGAGGATGAAATGAGATTTTTCTTCATGAAGAGAAATGGCTTTCATATAGTCATGAACAATAACTAAGAAAGGCAGAGAAACATAAATAAAATACTCCAGTAGTACTGGTCTCTTTGGAAAAACAGAACAGTCACTAAGAGATGCTTTTCTGCAAATTAAAGGTCATGGTGCAGTAAGCATTTTGACCTGCAATAAGCTTTTCAGCAAGAACTAAGTCTATCAAGTTTTATGAGCTTTTGGAATGGGCTTTTCTTTTAAAAAACAAAACAAAACAAACAAAAAAAATCCCAAAAAAACCCCAAACCAAACCCTGTGCCTGTCTTTGATAATGGTCAAAGAAAAAACATGCTAGTAATATCTAAGACCGGCATACTATTGCAGTATTTTTGGGAAAATCTTATTAATTTTGTTGTGCTTACAAAGTTGCCCAGTAGCAAACAGCAGCTAACCCATTAATTCTGATGCCACCTGAATCAACAGTTTTCCTAGTTAACAGTTTCCTTTCTTAGTAAGGATGGATATTGATACTGATGGAAAGTGTGATGAGATTAGAGATCCTCCTTCCCTACTGCTGTGTAAATGTTTTTATATCTTATTTGACTGCTTTTCTCTGTTTTAAGTATGTGTTTTTGTGGTAACCCAAATAACCACTTGTAGCTGCTCAAGGCAGTTATTGATAGGCACAATAGGAATAATAAATCCAAGACTGCAGGGACTAGACCATTAATGAAGCTGGATATTTGGGTACATACCAGCTGATTAATCCTCCCCAGTACAATAACAAGATAAGTATAAAATCACAGTCTATTGATGTGATTTTTCAGAACATATTTCATACATGCAAGAACAACAACAAAAAAGTCCCTTGTTAACTTCAAAGAGATACTTTTCAAAGCTTGGCATGTTCTATAAAGAGTCTGTATTATTGGTGTTACCATGACTGAGAAAAACTTGAGCTCTTCTCTGGTAACTGTCAGCTAAAATTCAATCAGCAGAATAGTTATCAACAACTGATGCACATAATCAAGAAGGAATATTTCTGATGGGAGGAGTAAGGGACTGAGGATAAAAAGACAAGAATGGTAATGAGAATTCATTTACAGTCACTTCGCATTAGCAGATCCAACCAATATACAGTTTACAGTGTAAACTAGGTCCTCAAACTTCAATGTTACTACAGCATAAAAGATTCACACTTTAGGTGTGTCCCCTCTCCTGTTATTTTAAAGGTAGTGAGGGAGAAAAGCTGAAAACCACAACCTTAAAAGCCTCCTCAGGATGCCAGCAAACACTCATTCCAGGAGAACGTAAAACAAAATGGGCTTTCTCATTTCCTTCCAAATCCCAGACCCTGGGGAGAAAAGAAAGAAAAAAAAAAGTAAAGTACTAAACTATTGCCATTTGACTGCAAATACATTAACTTTCAGTGACTCATTACATTCACAGAGGAAGTGACCAAATGAAATAGTGTTCATGCTGTATCATTTGAAGGTCAGTGAAAGTGGCCAGTGCTGCAGATAATGTATTTTAACACTGATGAGCTAGGCAGAGCCTCTGCTTAACTATTCAAATAATTTGACATTTTAGTTCTCTAGACATGAAATTTTAGTGAGATAGTTCCATTTTTTCATAAGGCAACACTACAGCCTTTGTACTATACCATAAATGGCAGTGAGACAGTACAAAGCAGGAAAGTCAGTGTTGGTCCAGCTGATACAAGGAACCTAAAGTGAGGTACCAAACAACTTCAATCATCCATGTTGCCACACAAAGGGCAAGACCCTTTATTGAAGTATTTTGGCTGCCTAATGTAAGAGTTTCCAGTATTTCCTGGTAAGACACGGTTGAGTAATGGAAATATAAGTAAACCAGAAATGAAGCTAAGGCAAACAGAAGAATCTATGGCAGAGGTAACACTAGCCAAAAACGGGTCTTAAGAGAGCTTTCAACAGATAAATCACATGTGCCAATTTAACCTTTTCCTTTACAAAAACGGACAGTACATATCTGGCAGCTATAAAAAATTTAAAAATCAACAGGATTTGGTCAATATGGATTGACAGGAAAGTGTATGCTGAAACACCAAAACTAAGTTAGGTGATAGGTGAGTTTTCTTTGGATGTATTCAATATGAGTTTTAAATAAGCCATGGAGCTACTTTGTTCCTAAAATGCAACAAAACCAAAACTGAGCCTATTTTACCTCACAGCCACTGCTCAACTCCCTCTTCTCCTACAAAATCTGTAACTCAGTTGTAGAACAAAGACATCACAGTTGTGAACGTCAATCTGAACCACATACTATTTATATGCATTTGGACACCAAAACATACACATATATCCCTCCTCTCTGACATGCAAAACTTGAGAAACAGCCAATTTTTAAAGCAGTGTTCTAACTAGTCTTTTGAGTTAGATGAGTGACTACATACTATTATTGTTTATTCTAGAGGATTTTTGCTGACTTCCTTCAGACTTTTTCAGTTTATATCTCACCAGGGTGCTTAGAGCCTTATATTTAAAAGTTTTAAGAAAACTCTTAACTAATATATCATAAGTCTAGACAAAATATATGGGAATAAAGTAAATATATTTAATGAACAATGTTGTTTTCTTATGCCAAACCACAATAGATCAAATATTTGTTCTCCCCATAGAAAACACAGGGTCTCTAATCTTGAAGAATCAGTGTCCTTACTAAAAAAAGTCAAAACAAAAACCTGACAAGTGTTTAAAAAATGAAATATCTACTTGATTAGGTAATTTAGAAACATACAATACTTTCTTCTACTGCCAAAAATTTTGCCTTGTAGATTTGTCCAAGTCAAATCAACACTTCCCATGTGTATTTACTGTGCAGGGAGAAAATTATGATACAACAGAAGACGGTGAATCATTTTGGCAAAAGGAATATGCCATTATGCTTCCTTCCCTGAAATGAGTGATGTTATTAGGTGTTGAGACAGAAATTTATGCTTTTTACCGCCATAACTTCGTTATTTATAAAGTTACCAAATTTGTATTTTTTACTTTGTAAGAACGGCAGGACTGTTAGTAACAAACAGTATGTGGAGGAGAAGGGATAAAAGCCTCTTTTTCATTTTCTTTATTGATACCAAAGATGATATAATTTAGTTTTTGGGAAAAAAACCCAAAACACCCAAAATACAAACCAGGAAATACATATCAAGATAGATCCTTGTATGAATGCATCATATCTATACAATTACACATGTGTTCAATTAACTCCTTCCAATATTTCTTTGTGAAAAACCCAAGTAAAATATGTGCAAACCCCAAAAATTTAGTCAAGCTGATTTTCAATAAGTTAACTACTCAGTAATCATAACCAAATCAGCTACAGATGCTTCCTCCCCCATTTTGTCCACATTCCTATAATGTAAATCAATCCAAAAGGACTGAGGACTTTGTCTTCCATTCAAACATCTTGAAACTTTACTAATAACCCCATAATTTTATACCAAAGTAAAATACTGCTCATTTTTCTCCAAACATCCTTATCTTTTGTAACCCTGCAATGTGCCACTCTTGTACTTCTCCTTCTCTTCCCACCAACCATCATGGAATAGACTTGTCACCAAGCTTATGGCAATGCAGATGATCCTTATTTTATCTTCTAATTTTCTGAATTATGAATAATTCTAACTAGCAGAACCAACTGCTAACTGTATAAAAATCATCATTTTCAGTAGTTAAAGAACTAAACCAGATTGTAATCTTCAGGTATTTCTCAAATCCCCAAAAGACAGAGCAAAAAATGGGAATTCTTCCAACGAAAGATTTCAAACAATTTCAGTGAGTGGGTGGGTGCTAGAACAAACCTTGACATCTGATTCTCAACCAAAAAGCATGATCAACTGTGCTTGATCCATTACTCAAAGATTACTCATGTCGAACATGGCTTTGCTGGGGTTTTTTTACTATCTAATACATTTCTTTATATCTCCATCAGACACATTCCATGTGTGAGGAAGATCCTATCACTCTTGAAAAGTCTAGAGGACTACGGAGAAGGGCAAGATTCCTGCTCCTGAGATCACACAAAGGCAGAATGAAGTTGCTCCTCACTGAGCACAAGGAGTGAGGCGAAGATCTCAGAAAAGGAACATGAAAGTGCAGAGATTAGGAAATACTGAAGAGAATACAACCAACACTGGCTTTCTTTAAGGTATACTGCCAACTCCATATTGATTTGGCTATCGCAGATCTGGAGGGTACTAAGCAGGACATAAAAGGCTGAAGTGTAACTGCAGAAATTCCCCTATCTGGTCAGAAGACGAGAAAGTTGTAATATTCAAGTAATTAATTTTATTTTACTGACAAAGAATTTTTTATGAAGTCTTTTCACAGAGGAAATGTAGAAATATTCATTCAGAAAGCTGACCCATGTTCACCATTTTCTTTTGGTGATCAAAGGAAATGATGTCGTTCCTGAAGAATTAGCAATTATAGTATTTCAGGTCTTGCCATTAAAAAACATGTTATCTCTAGCTTCTTGTAATATCTACTTGCTTATGCAAGCATTGATCTATTCCTCAGTGCTAACTCTGGGCTGCAATTATACCCTGCAGTGTTGACAGAGGCAGGAGACACAGTGCAGTATCTCCACTTCACTTATACACATTTCAGGCCATGCACACTCAAAACTGAGTCCAGAAATACACATTTCTACTATTACTACTGAAATACCTTTAAAGTTATCTAATGCAAAACCAGAGACCATGCAGCATTTTTGAAAAAAAATGTGGTTTCAGCTCTGTCCTTTCAACCAAAGCAAAAAATGGCTGTTAAGAGCTATCAGCTTATTGTTCCAATGTAGATATAAAACTAAATGCTTCTGCGGTATGACTGCTACTGAGAAACTCAACTACAAATTCTACTGATGGCTTTCTAAAACATAAAAGTTCTAAACAAATCTAATGCAATGATTTATATTTAAAAACAATTTATAGGCTAGATTACATTCTAGGACTGTATGACTCTTAACATAAACCATAATGTGTCACAAAGGAAATTACAACATCATCCTCATATTTTGAAGACTTCCTAACTAAAAGTTTATTAAGACCAGATTGAAAAAAATGTTCCAAACATTTCATCCAGAAAGTTTGGTTGTTTTTTTTTTTTTTAAGTTGACAGTAGACCAGTTAATTCTTGCACTATCCAACACCAGTTGGTTAATAATTGCATCAATTATTACATTGTACAATGTGTAAGAATTGTATAAGACTACATTTGGGGGACATACAGGGATGCATACAAGTGTGCAAATCCAAAGACTGGACTCTGAAAAAAAAATAATCAAGACTTCTTTCTTTTCATAAATTAAAATGCACAACTAGCTTGATAAAATGTAACCAGCATACCTCAGAAAGAATTAATATTTTGGTATGACATTTCTTACATGAAAGGACACTAGAAAATCCAATCATACAAACAGATGAAGCAAGAACAATATGAAATTAGATAACTTTCACAAAAATTTGAGAGAAATCCATACCTGACTGCACTAGGAATGGGAAGATGCAAAGAGAATATGGTTTGGAGGCAGAAATAAGTGATAATGAGCACTTCTCAATATACCTGAAGTCTGAAATATTTATTGAATAAACAAGGTAAGATTCAAGTGCAACTTGTGCTGGCAGTACATTAAAGAAAACAAGAACAAACAAAAACCAAAAGAACCCAGGAGTTACCATTAGCTTTCCTCCATATTGTCCAGAGAAAAATCTACACCAAATAAGTAGGGCATGAAAGTACCATATAAAAAAATATGCTACAGACAAACCCCCCTAAAACTAGATAAAACAGTAGAATATGTCCTAAGACTAGTTAATTTAGCTTTCAGTGACATAAAACCTCTCCCCCTAATCCCTGTTTAGGGAACAGAACTAACCTTCTTCTGGACTGGCATTTATTCTACATGCAACAAAGAAGGCTGAACTTCAGAGTGACTGATAAATTCACAAAGTCCTCTAGGAGTGATGTGAGCCATGGCCTAAGGAAACGAACAGAACAATGGAATCAAATGGCAAGTACACTCATGGAGAGCATGGAAGATAATTCAGCTATACATTCTTCTGCACTCAAAAAGAGAGGAAGAAGATGTATTTCAATAAATAGTTAAAAGAAAAAGAGAGAGTGAGGGAGAGAAAGGGGTGGATGAGTCTTTCTCAACATTTTAAAATACAAGCCATTCCAGCACTCAATGACCAGAAGAAATTGCCATGCTGGTATTTTTAAGAGTCTGACACTGTCAGTAACCTTTCAGTTCCACGCAAGGAGGGAGTATGAGGTGATTACCAATCAGACTGAATTAACCTTTTGACAGTCAAGAGGTTTATTTTTAGCATGGATATGAGATTAGTGGGTTTTGACAGGATGGCATTTTGCATTAAGTAATTCCAGAAACATCAGATAGTGTCTATAACCATCAACAGTGAAGGGTGTCAGTTGAACTCATGGTGTTTTCCAAACTTTTCCCACAATTTTTTGGCTTCTTTAAGCATCAGAACAAAATTATTTGTACATCTGAATCTATGCAGACTCCTAGACCTTGTTTCCACACAGTGAAAACGCCAGTAGTAATTTTTTTTTTTGAGGAGTGGTGCACAGGGAATTGCACACACACAGATCTCATTAACAAAGGGGGACGCACACATTCCTACAATTGATGCAAATGTTCAGAGAAGTGTATAATGCCTTATTATTTCAAGGAATTAAATTAAATATTCCTTAAAGCTATCATAACAAAGATGACCACTGCAATTATTTTTAGTGCAGTTCTACTTCACAGCTGAAAAAAAGTTTTGAGTCGTGAGACTAAGGCCAATAAAGACCACATGCAAGAAATAACAAGATATCCTGAGCGACACAGCAGCAATTTAAAGCTAAGAACATTGGATACAGCCAGTATCCAAATTACACTGTCTGTCCTCCAACCAAAATTACTGAACCCCTCTCTGAGATATCACAGTGCAGCAGCTTGTGGCAAGACTATTTAGTGGATGAAAAATTAAAATCTTACTTCCTTAGAGGTCTCTGATGAACTTAAACCTAAACTTTCTCATGAGTGAAAACCAGGGAGGACCTAACCATGCTTGTATACAGCCAGTACATTCTAAAAAGTTGTTTTAAAACAGTTTTAAGATTTAAAAGTGGAACTCAAGACGTGTAGAAATTGTTCTAGAACTTTACTGCACACGCATTAGCAGATTTTGTATCCTAAGAACAATTTCAGGATTGAAATTCAGTACAGACAAAAGAATTATTCCTCTTCTTACATTACTACTGAAGCAAATTACAGAGTAAGTAAAGAATGATTTTGGTAAGTCCCAAGGAATGCATTTTCCATTAGTTTTGAAAGTGTAACCTTTAAATTCAATTGAAAAAGTCTTCATGCCCCACATGCATGAATGGAAAAAATAAGAACTCAAGTAGCCAAAAAAAAACCTACTTATTTCCCATGGCTTTTAACCAAAGACTTTATGGTTTATGGCATAAAATGTTTTTCATAGTTACTAAGCTGAAATCTTGTTAGTATATATTAATTACATAATTTTATTTCCTTTAAAATTAGTATCAATTAGACATTTGGTTTTAAAACAGTTTTTTTTCATCCCAGGAAAGCTAAGCATTTCATAAAATAAAGAGGAAAAGGCCACAGAGTCAAACAGATTTTTGCTGAATAAGCCCAATTTGAATTTGGATTTAACAAAGAAATCAAGGGTAGGAAATAAATCAGGAAAAGATATAGGTAAGTCATACATTTCTACTATTCATTCCTAATGATTTTGTTGGAAATACTGTCTAGACATCTATGAATAAATTGCTTACTCATCAGAGTAAAGAAAGTCAAAGATGATCCCTTTCCCAGCTCTCCTGCTGCTCTATTGCACTGACCTGAAAAGCCTGCAATAGCTGCCGCCCTCATCTGTCCAACTGCACCGGAGGGGTAGGAAGAGCAGCTTAATAGATTCATACACACTACTAGAAGTGGAAGATGGGTGACAAGGACAAACTCCTGCATCAAAAACCTTTATACAGGATGCTTCAAAGCATTAAACAATGTTTCCCTTCTACTTCCAGTTATAAACAACCAAACACCTGGCTTAGAAGCAGCTGTACTACTGTATTAGTATGGTGCTGTCTTCAGGCTGTCATCCCACCCTCCTGGTAAGGCTAATAAATTTGGGTAAGTGGACAAGTTCTCATATGTATACTGGTTTTAAACTTGACACACCTGATGACAGAATACAGAGAGGGCCTGTATAATTCATGTCTGCTCTCTCCTATTTTCATTTTATTCCTATCCCAGAAGGGGGTGGGAAATAGTGTATGCAAATCCGAGACCAAAGTTTTCTTAATTTTGAATCTAGCTGGTTCAAAATATTGCTTTGAAAAAAGCCAGCCCACATGTCACAACAAAAAGCCAGCCCACAACCTAAGTTAACAAGAATAGTCCATTTCTTATCTTGTGGACTAGTGTTGTTAGAGGGCTATGGAGGCACACTAAAAATAAAAATATAAATGCTTATTTATTTAAGTGGACATATAAAACATTCACAGTTATAAAAAGTGCAATATTAGTTTTTCACCAGTGTTATGAACAAAATGCATACCTGCAGGTGTGATCATCACTTACACTTGCAATTTCTTGACCTTCGTTGGGAGCAAAGACCAGATCATTAATGTAATCTGAGTGGCCATCAAATGTCTGCCAACCAGAAAAGAGAAATACTTTTACCTTAGAGCTGACTGTTCCACCAATGTATTTAACAGACCTGCTAATGGAAAGATGTGTGTAAAGATACAACTATCATTTTAATAGAAGGTAAAAACCAGTTTTTATTGGTAACTGGATTTCTTTGAAATATCTAATTCATGTGTAGGTTCATACTGCAGGTGAAAAGACCCCCCTATTACTCCTTGAAGTTAGCACAGAGGTCAGTTTGATGCTTTTGCTTGATAGAAATCAGTGAATCACACCAGAGCTATTTATCATTTTTTTCCACCACTGAATTTTGAAGGTAGAACATAGTAAATCTCAGAAAGGAAAAGGAGAATGATGAGGCAATGAATGCATGAACTACCTACCTTAAAGAACTCTGACTAGGATCAAGTAACTCTGATCTCTGAATCTCTCATTAGATACATCTATGGTGTTTTTGAAAGAAATCTCACAAAATTTTAAGTCAGGCAAATTTCCATATCTAGATGTATCTGTTACTGTTACACCCTCTTCTGTTCAGTCCCACTGATTAAGTCTCAAGGCACAGCTGCTTTTGTTTTGCCCAGCAAGGTATCATAAAAATGAGACAAAAATATCCTCTCGATAACAGCATGAGACCAAGAGATTGCAGAGGAAAACAAGGTCGACTGAAAACAACTTCTACAGTTTTCTGAAAGAAAAACACACCACCTTTAAATGTAGCCATTCTGAGGAACAACTGCAGAACTGATAAAAAAAAAATCTCAAGCACGCACAAGAACTAAATCCCCCTCTCTAAAAGTTTTAAGGATGCCTCATCAATTCAATACAGAAACATTTTCAGCAGCCAACTTATTTTTTTCCAATAAGTCATTATTTTATTAAAACCTAATGGATTATACTAGAACTAATAGGTTCTAAGATGATGCTAAACTATTTAGACAGAATGCCAAGTCTTTTGACAATTTTCAGCATTCTGAATTCAAATATCCTGCTTCATTTTACTTCTACAGTTCTGATGAAATATGCTTTTTATTAAGCAAAATTTGAAGCAGTACAAGGAAGCCATAATTCATTTCCAAATGAAAACCTCAAAAGAAGAAAAAGGCTTCATGAAGATCCATCAGTCATATTTTACCTTTTGTTTTTTTGCTCTGGGCTTGATCCAACCCATAAATTTTGGATTAGTTGTGTCGACAAAGTAATGGAAAACTCAAGTGTGCTTCAAGTTCCTTTTTGATAATTACATCAAGACAGTTTTTCCACGGGGAAAACAGAGCAAGATTACTCTGTCTATCCCTCCAGAAGCAACACGTACCAATTGTTTACTATAAAAGACAAAATGTTCAGAGATTACATTCTGAACATAGTCACATACTTCCCTCAGCCTTGTTTCCATGTTCTGGACCTCTCCTGAAGATCCCATGCGTCAAGTGTGCACTGTATAATGGATTAAAATTTTCCATGTGTTCATTGTGAGTTTAACCTCAGGTTTTGAAATAGGTTGTCTGAGGTATCAGTTAACTGTTAATAAGAAGCCACTGTATCAAACTTTACCGAAAGCCAGATCCGCATAGCTCACCCAGAATTTGTGAACATCTGGGATTTTGCATGTGCTTTAAATCAGAGTTAGCTGTTAACTTTTCTTGACAAGAAATCTAGAGTACAATTATTGTCCAAATATAAGAAATTAAGATGATTGCCAGAAAGGGTTTTCCACACTTTAAATCAAAAAACCCCAGAAGACAGTCTTAAAACACAACTGTTACCGACATAAACACACTAGTCCACATTCCTTCTTTTTAGTTAACGAGTTCCTCACTAATAGGTAAAAATATGTATTTTTAGCTGTTTTCTGATTATTTTTAACATTAGACCAAGCCTGACCCAGTAACAATATATATTTTTACTTTTTCCACAGCCAGAGTACATCCTTACTAAAGTTCTTGGACAGTTAATTTCAGTGGTGGAGCTGGCATAAACAAATCTAATAGCTTTACTGTTAAATTCGGGCCAACACTTCTCATTTGTATTGCATATGCACCAAACAATCATAGAATCATTAAGGTTGGAAAAGACCTCTGAGATCACTGAGTCCAAACACTAATTTAACACTGCCAGGTCTGTCCCTAAGCACCACATCTATAAGGTTTTTGAACACAGTGATCACACTATTTCCCTGGGCAGCCTATTCCAATGCTAGACCACCCTCTCACGGAAGAATTTTTTCCTAATATCCAATCTGAACCTCTTCTGGCACAGCTTGAGGCTGTTGCCTCTTGTCCTATCACTTGCTGGCTGGGATACTGACCCCAACCTGGCTACAGCCTCCTTTCAGGGGGTTGTAGAGAGCAGTAAGGTCCCTCCCAAGCCTCCTTTTCTCCAGGCTGAACAACCTCAGTTCCCTCAGTTGCTCCTCATAGGACTTTTGCTCCAGACCCCTCACCAGCTCCACTGCCTTCTCTGGACATGCTCCAGCACCTCAATGTCTTCCTTGTCCTGAGTGGCCCAAAACAGAACAGAGAATTCAAGGTGCCAAGTACAGAGGGACAAATGCCTCCTTACTCCTGCTGACCACACTAGCTCTTGTGGCCTTATTAATCCAAAATAAATTAAAAAATTAGATGTTGAATTTAGCTCTCTGGAGGCTGTAGTACCAAACTGATCCCATTGTTTCATTATTTCAACTTATTATCAATACATTAGCTAGTGTTAAAGAAACTTTACATTCTGCTAAGTTGAAAGATTTAATTCACACATAGCTTAACATTAAAGCCCACTGTCTGAAATTCACAAAACTGGCAGGTATTATATAAATGGATAACTTTAATATGGAATGACAGACATCAACTCACAAGCAAAGAGCATAAAGAACTTTTAGAACTATTTTGTCAGAAATCCCATCAAGCTGACTATGTCAGTTATCCCACTGCTCAGTGGCAAAATCACGTCAGAAGCCAACACTGAAAGAAGGAAATTAAAAGTATGTGCATATATGAAGCAAGATAAAAAACATTTTCTTTCAAGACATTTAGTAGCATTCATCTTTACTACTTAAGCCCTGCCTTTATGCATTCTATTATCAGGATGGCCACATAAATGACATCGACAATTCACTTAATTTCTGTGTGACAAATCTCATTCTCTTACTAATACAAATTAACATACCAAAAATAAAAGTCTATTTTTTTTCCTTTATACCAAATAAGCTGCTCTCATCAAAAGAGGCATTATCATATTCTAAAGCAGTAAAAGCCAAGGAAGGCTCTCCCCCAATTCTTTTTATTAATTAGCTTTGCTTATTGTTAGCTAAGACCACATCAAAAAAACTTCAAACTGGATAGCACAAACATCTAATTAACAGTAGTACTTGGACTGAGACATTGTTTCAAAGGAAGAATTTTGAAGGAAATCAGAAGATCATGTAGGTGGTAATTACAATTATTCCCACTTGAAAGACAGAAAAGTATTTACAGTACAGTGATTATCTCTAGAGGTGATGGATCTAGGATCTGTCACAAATGGAGCAGAAGGGTAGTTAAAGATTAGACTTCACTAAAAACCAAATAATCTTTTAAAAATCCCATTAGCTGCCCTTACCTTAAATTCATTCTTGTCCTGTAAGTCAGAAGTAAAGAGCCTTAATTTCCTATCAGAAGCTGCAGTACAAAACCTGTACTCAACAGACAAATAAAAGGCACTTCAGTTAATCAACATTGCAATCATTGACTTTTTATCAGTTTTCCTTCATTTAAAAAAGGCAAAGTGAGATGCAAATTAAAAAACACAAAAGCATCTATCTTTCCTGCTTTGGCAACCAGCAGAGTTATAACTGGAGCTTACCTGTAAAATTGTGTGCATCAAGTGCAAATACTTATTCACAGAAAGAAATGCAAAACATTTTACAAAGCTAAATCTGGATCAATTACCAATTACCTGAAATATCTCTTATATATCCTGCTGAAACTTTCCATGAAAGAAGTTAAGTGGTAGGGCACAAAAAACAGCCCTCATTATCAATGTTTTAAAATCCTGAAATATAAAATTCATAAACTAATCTCTATTCAACATATTTTAACCAGAAAGACTGTATGGATGCTAACTCAGAAGCAGGCAGCATAGTGCCTGTGGAATACCAGGCCACATAACTTTCTCAGTCTTGCCTGAGAAAGTGGCCTGGGAAATCATAAGGAGGAATTAAAACAATCCTCAGAGACAGAAAACAGCCTTGCAGGTGCTGTTTGTCTGTTCCTTGTTTTCTTGCAAGAGAAGGTTGAGGGCTGGTGTACCCCACTGGCCAATGATGGTGATAGTTTACTAACCAATAAGAGTTTTCTTTTCTGCACTTTCACGTATCGGTCTATAAAAAAGATCTGAAGTAATAAACCAAGAGAAATTCTCCAGTTTGACTCCCAAGAGAGTCTGTGTCACTCTTCTCGCCGTTCCCAATACAGCGACAAGACTGCACAAAAATGGAGCAGTAAGCAACTATGGTAATCTTGAAGAACCAAACAAGCTAGTGAGTACATTTTAATTCAGAAGTTTCATATTTAATAGTTAACTAGCTTTCTAGATTTTCCAGATTTACACCTCAAAGACTATCACAAATAGTATCTAACCTACACTGAAACACAGCACATATTATGCCAATCAGTACAAATAGCTTTATAAAGGAGGCCAGGCAAATGATCTCACATTTACTAATGCTCTTAAATGCTTCTTCACAGATGTACAAAGAAAGAAACTAGGTCTGAGGTCCATAAAAATAATGAAAAAAATATTATTTACTGCTTGTTCCCAGGGGAGCAGGTCAAGGAATACAAGAAGTAGGACAAAAAATAAGAAAATGAGCAACAAAAAAAAGACTATAAGAATAAAAATGTTTTACTGAAGATTTCAGTAAT